AACCTGCACCCACACATGCTGCCCTATACCCATGTTCCTATCTAAAGCAACGTCCCTTCTCTTGTGCACTAAATTCCATACCCTATCCCTCCAACATTTTCTTTCTCTATTGAATCATTCTTACGTGCATGCAAACATGCTGTTATTTCTCCCACCTTAAAAATAAACTTTCCTAGGGCCTCCCTGGTGGCGCAGGTGGTTGAGCGCAGTGCTGTGAAGTTGTCCACAGCCTCTGCAGTGCCGGTTTGATCCCCACCGGCCTCGGAGCAACCCACATGGCGAGCCAGACCTCTCCTGTCTCGCCCGCTGCTCCCCTCAGCAGCGTATTTTGTCAGTCTGCCTATTCTGTTCCCCGCTCTGTCTCTGGTGAATCTGCTCAACCTCCTGTGCATCTGCCCTGTACCCCGGCTCTTGTTTAAATAAAAAATAAATCTTAAAAAAATAAAATAAAATAAAATAAACTTTCCTTACCTTCTATCCCCACTTTCTTTTCTTCCCTTTGCACAAAAATCCTTGAGTTGTTGATACATTCAAATGCTTCCCTCTAATTTCCTCTGTACATTTTAATCCATTTTATCCTACCTTAACTGTCAAGGTCAACTGGTTGCCAATTTTTTTTTTTAATTTTTTTTAAAGATTTATTTTTATATATTTATACAAGCACTGGGTACAGTCAGAAGCACGGGAGGGTGAGAGAATTCACCAGAGCCAGAGCGGGGAGCAGAGCAGGCAGACTGAAGTACACTGCTGAGGGGAGCAGCGGGCAGCAGGAGAGGTCTGAGCGCCATGTGGGACCCTCGCCCTGTGGCCGGGGACTGAACCGGCACTGCAGAGGCTGCAGGCAGCTTCGCAACCCAGCTCAACCGCTGCGCCACCGGGGAGGCCCTGGTTGCCAAACTTTATGGTCAGTTTTCAGTCTTCATTTTGCTGGACCTTCCAGAAGCATTGTACATAGCTAATCTCTTCCCCTTGAAATTCTTCACTGGCATCCAAGGTATCACTTGCTTCTGGTTTTCCTCCTACCTCCTCAGGAGTTCCTTTTCTTCTCAATCTCTTATTGTTGGAGAATTCCAAGTTCAGTCCATGTTTCTCTTCTTCTCTCTATACACATTTACTCTTTGGATAACTCATTAATCTCAGGCTTTAAATATCATCTAAATGTTGAAATAGCCCTAATTTAATATCTCCATTAAGACATCTCTGAATTCCAACTTCTTATGTTCCATTACATTTAACCTTTCCAAAATGTTACTTTTATCCCCTACAGTTTCTCTACCTTAAGTCTGCAATGCTTCCCCCACCCCACTTCATTCAGAAAACAAGTCTGCTGCTAACAACTCAAACTTGGTCAAACTAGAAAATCACTCTTTCTAGTGGGGGACTCTCTTCATTGCAGACACCACACTCAACCCATCAGGAAATACAAATGGCTCTAATTTCAAATACATCCAGAACCATCTCTTACCACCCCTACTGCCAAGTCACCATCATATCTCCCTAAGTCATTGCGATAACATACTAAGTAGACTCTACTTGCATTCTTACCCAAAAGAACCATCGAATTAGCCTTTTTGAGGCCTCCATCAAGTCCCCCACCCCCACTTCATTCAGAAAATAAGTGAAAAGAATTACTCTTGTATGGTGGTACTTCCATAGAGCCCCTGACCTCCCACCACTCTTTCAATTGTGCACTCCACTGCAGACACACAGGCCTCCATGCTCTCTCTCTAGCACGCCAGACACCCTCCACCTCAGAGCTTCTTACAAGTTCTTTCCTCTGCCAGGATCATCTTTGTTCAATGCCCACCATGGGTAACTTTCTTACATCCTTTCATCTTTGTTCAATTGTGAATTCCTCATAAGGGCTGACCTGACCACCCTATTTAAAATTGTCACATTCATGGGCCTCCCTGGTGATGCAGGCGGTTGAGCGCCGCTCTGTGAAGCTGTCCGCAGCCTCTGCAGCATGGGTTCGATTCCGGCCGGCAGGCAAGAATCCCACAAAGCACGGCAGACCTCTCCTGTCTCCCCCACTGCTCCGTTCAGCAGTGTATTTCAGTTGATCTGCCTGTTCTGCTCCCCACTCTGTCTCTGGTGAATCCTCTCACCCCTGCACATCTGCCCTGTACCCCAGTTCTTGTATGAATAAATAAATCTTTTTTTAAAATAATAAAATAAAATTGCCACATTCATTTTTCCTCTCAGAATTTTTATCCTTTTTATGCTGTCATAACTTTTAAGCACTTGTCACCTTGAAATACACTAATCCATTTATCAGTACAGTATTTGTTGTCTGGCTCCTCTCACTACAACTTAAACTGTTAAAAAGGAAAATACTTTTCTCTGTATTGTCCAATGATATTCATGGCACACAGAAAATGATCAATTAATACTTGTTGAATGAATAGATCTATTTCCCCACCAGACCATAAGTAACTGGAGGCTAGACAAATGCTTACTCATTTTTGTACCCTGGTTTCTTACATACAGTCATTACCAACAACTTTTCATTAAATTGAGCAGAAGTAAAACAAATGGACAATTGGTCCATAAAAGTATCTTAATTTCTCTGTATCAAAAAAGAAAAAAAATTATTTTTTGCATTAATCTGACTACCAACATTTGTTCTGGACAAGGTACTCATTTTTCTGATTCTTTGGCAAGGATGGAAGAAGGATACATTAACATGAAGCTGATCATTGATGCATTTTCTCAGAGGTGAATTAGCACCTACCTCTAAAAAGGTTAAGTGGCATAGACATCAAGAAATCATCCCATCCTTAAGGCCTCTTTTGTGACCAGTCAGAAAATGGGGAAGTCACCTTGCCTTCACAGATTATATATTCCTCACCATAGCCTTTTCCTAAGTGTATCCTTCCAGATTTTTCCAGGCTGTTGATAATTACAGGTAACAAATATATCAATTGACCATATCGTGCTGGCATGCTTCAAAGTGTTTGTTTACTAGTTGAAGACTGCATTAAGCTCAGGATTATTTCATGCTGCTCAGCTGCCTGGCCCTCTTCCAGTTCTCTCCTATCCTACTTTCTCACTATTCAAAATAGCAATTTCTATCTACCTCTAAAGTCATGAAAATCCCAAAAGTTAGTTGACTATCACTGAACTCTTCACCCTTGTGAGATTCTTTGCCTTCATTGTTTGAACCTGTGACCTGAAGTTAGCTAAGTGTCCATCACAAATAACTATGCCAAATGCATTTTTATCCCTTCTAGCTTCACTTGTTGTATTGGCCAATGTGCTTTCATTTTGTCTTTTATTGTATTACAAATGAAGCATGTGCAGCTATTTAAGAAAACATAAAAAGATAACATGAGCATGTCTTTATCTGAAAATGTCCCTTTTCCACTTCTCTTTCTGGTTTCTTTATTAACCAAAGTTCCATTGTTATAAAAATTATAATAAACTATTTTGAGTCTTGTAATTTCAGTTTCTTACTCCCTAAGCAACCAAAATCCCAGGGTTTTTAATTAATATATTCAGAGGCGAGATTCGAGTAATCTCCATATGGTTAACTAATGCCTTCACTTAAGTTTCTAGGGTTGGGAAAAAAACCCTTTGCCAATAAGGAAAAAAGAAGTTTTTGAATCTATAGTACAAAGACTTCAAACAGCATTCCACAGCATGTTATTTTCTTTCCAGAAAATTCTAACACTATATAATTACTTTTGTATGGAAAATGAATAATGCAAGCCTCTAATGCTAAAAACAGCTAGACTGAAACCAACCAAATCAGATAGGCCTTTCCTAAAACCAAATGAAATGTTAAACTAGAAAACATCTGAGAGGACACACTAAGGGAAAAAAATCTCTTCAATTATTATCCAATAGAAAAGGTATATGGAAAATACTATGCTTTCCCGTCTATGTATCAATATTTGTCTACCTCAAAGAAACTCTAATGTTCACTGTACCCCCAAATGTCAGAAAGAAAAAAACCAATCATAAATGCATTTAGGCGCTTCCGAGGCTTCTGGTTAAAAATAATAGCAACAAGCATCAATTAAGCTCCATCCATTGCAACAGAAAATACACTGATATAGAAAAGGCGAAATCCCACCTGCATGGAAATTATACTACAGCTACTCCCCCAGTTCAGAGAAAAAAGAGCTTCACTTCGGACTCAGGCATAACTAGTCCCAGCAAATAAAGAGTGCGTTCATTTTGGGTTAAGAGGTACTGAGCAGAGAGTACCTCATTGCCCTACCCCCAAAAACTGCTCCAGTGAAAGCATCCTTGCCTCATGACCTCGCTCAGCCAGAAGAAAGCTCAGACTGAAAGGAACAACCTGCTGGGGCTCAGAGGTAGCCGCTACAGTGCAGTAGACAGCGCGGGTGCCTGGGTCTTGCCTCCCCCTCCCATGCACCCCACCCCCAGCCGTTGCACTGGCGTCTGGCTGCAAGCTCCAGGACTCTATGACCTGAACAGGTTCTTTCTCTCCCGAAGGTGGAGAACCTCACAAAAATGTTTTAACAGGAGTAATTCCCGCGTTGGCAAAGTCTCTATAACCGGGAGTGAATAAACTGACCCAGGAGGTGCCAGAGCCCACGTCTGGGTCTGCTGCTCCCCGACCCCACCCCCGAGCATCTTCAACCAGCGTCCCCAGAGCCCGGTCCTCAGCCTGGCACCCAGTAGGGGCTTTCAGGGAGCGCGGACCCAAGGGCAGACTTTCCGCTAAGTAAACAGCCATGTTAGCCTCCTCGCGTCGTAAATTAGCCAGGGCTGAGCCATCAGGAGCGCTCACCAGGTCCCCTCTGCGCCCCAAGGCTTCGAATGTTTGCAAACTCCTAGGCGCAAACCGCCCGGGCCCCAGCTCTCTCATGGTTCAGCACCGAGGACAGCAGATACACTTTAGCCAGTGGCCTCGGCGCCAGCGGGGGTGGCGCTGGCCGCCCAGGCAGGGCTGCAGGTGTCCCGACCGCTATCCCTCCCGCATCCACCCCCTCGGGCGCCTGAAGCAGGGCAGTCCCGCGGCATCTTACTTTTCTGGCTGGAGTAACCGGGGTAATAGCCATAGTAGCCGGTGATCCGCAGGATGCGGTCCTCGATGGTGGCCACCCCATTGGGGGCCGCCTTGACATCCATAGAGAGCACCGGGCGGCGGCCCCCAGCGCGGCGGGGCTGAGAGCGCAACGCGGGTCCGGGGAACTGGTGCAGGTGCCGCCGCCGCGGGTGCTGATGTTGCAGCTCGTGCTCCCGCGCCGAGGATCTGACTCCACCGCCCGGCGCAGGACCGGCTCCGCATCACAGCAGCAGCGGCGGCGGAGCGGCCCCCACTCAGGCCGTCCTCTCCGTAGCCTGGCAGCTCTCCCGCCCGCCACCCTGAGCACTGTTGCCCGAACAGCGCCCCCTCACCTCCGACGCCCACCGCGGCGGTGGGCGGGCGTGGGCGCCCCACCTGGCCGCCAACTCTCATTGTTAACCCTTTTTGCACCCCTTCTCCGAAGGGCAGTCTCCCCCAACTCCACCTGACGGAAGGAATGGTTGGTCCAGGGGCGTGGGAGGAGAAAGGTGAGAAGGTGGCGGGGGATCAGGGAGGAGACGTGTGGGTGGGAGAGACCCAAGCGGAACCCGGGCTGTCGCTGTGCGCGAGAGGCACACCGTCGCCAGCGGAGACACCCCCAGGGTGCCCTGAGACTTGGCCCACCTTGTACCTCTACACCATTTGGGGTCTGCTCATCTGCAAGCGTCCTAAGGGGTTGATCACTTCTCTAAATTTGCCTGACGATGGGGTGTCTTTTTTTTTTTTTTTTTAAGAAATGAAAAGCAAATGAGGCCCCAGCAGGTGGTCCATGGAGTGATTGTCCAGGTATTGCTGGGACATTAAGACTTCAGGAGACTCTAGCCCCCAAGGCTAAGAATCTTCCGCTCCATGCTCCACGGTGAAAACATCAAAGGTTTGGGAGACAGGGGCACAGCTGTGCACAGCATGTTTATTTTCCCAATTCCAAATGCTCTGACAAGAAATGGTTTTCTTCTTTATTGGTGAAAACATTAAGGGGTAGCCCTTAATACTGTAAATATCTGGATGGAGGAAAGTTTTCGCTACAGTGGAGAATTTTCGAGTCTAGAATGTCCTTGAAACTATGTGTTCCTAGTAGTGAGCACAGCACCCTCCCCTGGGGTGACTCTTCTCCTTTGTCCAGAGACTCACAGGTCAGTCAGTGAGCAGTAGGATGATTCCCTCCATTCATCATTTGCAGTCATAGCCTCCTGGAGGTGGGGGGGGGGGTGCAGGGGGAGAACTTCTTAGTTTCATATCAGAAGCTAAAGGGTATGTGAGGGTGGGGATGAGGTGTGAGCTCATCAACTTAGAGGTTATTATGTCCACTTTCCAAACAGAACCAGTTTAAGCCATCCATGCCAGATTGCACATTTCTAAAGTAAAGAGGAGGGGACAAAACAAATTGACCTTACTGTCCCCTGAGAAGCTTCCAAAGAACTTCTCATACCATTCCTGTCTTCAAGCATTTTCCACATTGTGGATCTTTAAGAGGGAAGAAATACACACATTTTTTAAAAATGAACTAGGTTTAAGCATATAAAAATACAGTATTAAATTTCACAATGAGTTTTAATTGTTTTCATCCAGACATAAAGCTAACACAGGATATTCAGAGTGTAGAGAATCTGAGACCATGTGGCTGAAAGGAGAGTTCATAAAGAAACCAATTTCTTCCCACACCTGCTTTCTGGGCAAGGTGAGACAGAAGGGTGGAAGAAACTGAAAGGTCAAAATGAACCTAAAGATAAAGCAAGCCTAGGGCAATGATGGGAAGCTAAACACTTAAAGCAAAATGAAAGGATTATATCTATACATCCCACAGCCCCCACTCCTACCCCAAAGCAATCTTCAGCACACATTTTAGCTTATAATATCTCATCTATTTAGCAGACCTTATATAAAATGCATGTATTACATACAGTGAAATGTGTTGCAAACATTCAAGAGGTCCTTTTTGCTTAGTTATTTCTATAAAACAAATCTACCTATATTACATATAATGTGTGTTTAATTTAACAATCATTGTAACCCATAGCATAGTAATATATGCATTCTGTAAGAGAGAAATTAAGAAAAATTTCAAGCAAAACCTTCTAAAATAACTGGAATATACATAGGCACAAACTTTGAAGACAATAGTTTTGTCCTAAATGTTTATTTTGCTTGAATGTCTTCTTAATTTCTCTTACTGAATGCATATGGTAATATGTTCTGGTTTACAATGAATGTTATTTAATTAATTTAAATTCTGAATTACATATATTTTATAAGATGTTGCTCTCTTCCTAGTTTTGCTTTATTTCAAATGTATTTACCTGGATCTCATCATTCATATAAACAACAGAGTCAGCATAAATTTAAATAATGGAAATTAAATTATACCCAGAAGAGTCTATGTTTTCTCATTGAAATTATGAAAATTCTCAAATTGACCTGGAAATTAATTTTAAAATATCAGAGCATTTACAAGTTTCTCTGTAATCATCTGTAATAGGGTGACTAAAATGGTAAATGTAAACAGATGCTATAATCTAGGACACAATAGTTTTTAATGAACTGAAAATCTACAATTATAAATTGATCAACAATGAAAAACAAATTTCTGCTAGTAATAAGCACTCTGGTGCAGATGATAAGTTTTTCAGGCTTTCAGATGTTATTTATCACTGAAAATTTATAGAAAGCTGTTGAGGTGATAATTTTTAAAAAACATTTTTATGTATTTACCAGTTTCACAACCAAAATTGTGATTAGCAAACAGAAATTCAAATTTATAAAATGCACATTATCAGCATGCCCCAAATCTATTCTGAAAAAATGAGGAAAAGATAGAATTAAACAAATAAGATTAAAGGTAGTTATTTGATTTACAAAATTATTTCTCATAGTATAAGCCTTATTTCCCATTGCGCCAGTGTCCTAAGTAAATGTTTATTGCATTTTAAAAAATGATTCCTCATGGTAGCCAATTTCACATAGCCATTTCCTAGTAAATCAATTTTCCAAGTAACCATATCTTGATTTACAAAAATTTGATTTATATGCAACTTTTCAGGGACATTTCTAATGCATTAAGCACAGGACATCTGCCTGTGATTCCAACTGAGTTTTGATATAGGGACATTATTTATTTTGCTCATAATTCGATGAAGTCAGATTAGATATTTATACTAATTGAGTATACAGAACTTGGTTATTTGTGTTATTTAAAAATGTCAAATCATTTGTAAAACTGTTCAAGTGATATTTACTTACTCTTTACATCTGATGCTAAAATAACAATACTAAGTAATAACATTAAAATTGAAATGTAGTCATTAGGTATAAATTCTATTTGAATCTATATAGCCTCACAAATAATTATAGCCTTTCATCAAAGTTTTTTTTTAAATTGCATCAGCCTTTATACTTTGAAAGGTTTAGTAAAATAAAATCCTTGAAATCTAATCTTTCTACTCTGAGTAGCAACTAAGGGAGAGAATATCTGACATTGAATCTTCTTTCCATGGCAGGCATAAGTCACTTAATCTTTTTGACCACCTATTCATATTTACCAATGAAAGATGCTGAAAGAGGAAATGATTTTTTTAAATGTTCCTGGAAACTAATATATCAATAGTATACCTACCTCCTTGAGTGAAGAGTAATGTGGCTGCTTAGATAGCTACAAATATTTAAGCTTTAATACCCAAGGGCCAATGTTGCTATTTGCAATGAGTTGACCCCACATAGTTTGCAGTGTTTGTGTTTAAAAGCACCTGGCATCTAGCCAACCAGGTGATAGGCACTGGCATCTGGGAAGAAGAAAGAATAGTCTTCATATTCCATTTTCAGGAAAACCATTCTGCATATTTAGCCACCAACTCATCACCTGCCCCACTTGGAATGCTGACATTGCCTTTCTGTTCCTATCTTAGGTATGGTAATCCTTGTTAATTTACCTTTTGGCAGATGGTAGCACTGATAGGGGCTGGGGCCCAATGCTCAGTATCTGCCTAGGAAGTCAGGGCAGTTTACTTTTCATTGACCTCAGTGCCAGGCTCTATCATAGGATTATTTTCGAGGCTCAATTTCTTGAAAATGCATTGAACTGTTTTGGAGAAAGTTTTAAGTAATTTAAACAAATACACTCAGATTTTAGAATTTATCTATGACCTCTGTGGGTATGTCTCTGTCATTTTTTCTCATTTTCTCCCTCTCTTCCTCTCTTTTTCCCTCTCTTCTCTCCCTCAGCTATATACAGCACAGTAGCTTGGAGTATGGACTTTGGAGCAAAACTGCCAAGGATTAAATTTGACCTCACCATTTTCTAGCAGTATACTTTTGGGTAAATCTTATAAATTCTATAACTCAGTTTTCTCATCAGTAAAACAAAACTATTATACCCAATGTACCTATCTCATGAAACTATTATTAAGATTAAATGAGTCTGTATTCATAAGGAGTTTGTAACAGTCCCTGGCATATAATAGCATCAAAATGCTAGCATCATTATTTTGTTCTATGCATATATAAAGCCCTCTAGAGCTTCAGTGTACTCCTCTACAAAATGGGCTCATACTCTACTCAATAGTATTAAGGTTACAGTTAAGTAAGTTAATATGAAAATGTTTCACCAAGGCCTAGTATTTAGTAGGTGCACAATAAATATTAATTTGCTTCTCCTAACCTCATCTCTGCCCTATCCATTGTTTCTTACTAAAGTTAATTCACATTTTAATACTTCATTCACATTATTAGGAATTTCTCTGTGACAGTTGCTTTCACAAGTCTTTCATTTTCAACCATGGCAATAATCACATGAGGCTGATCTTGGAATCACATTGACAAGTCAAATAAATAGGTGGGCTGTAGAACAAAATTGCTTTGCAGAAACAGAAACTGCTCAAGGTTAGCAGTTCTTCCTGTCCTTTGAGATGTCCTAGACATAAGAGTGCTTCAGACTGAAAAGGTGACAAAGTCTGGTGGTCCCAGGCATGAGAGGGACTCAGGCCCTACTTGGTTCTAGTTCGCCAAGGGAAGTGGACAGTCCTCAGAGGAATCACAATGTGGTGCCCTGAGAGAGGCTGGGCCATAATCCCTGGGCTTCCTAGCCTCAGCTGATTCTGGTGCTTCCAAACTTGGCCCAGAAGCAGCAGAGCCACCAGAAGTATGAACTATGAGTTTGATGACTGTACATCTCAGCAGTGAACAAGTGATGAAGGACCAGAGTATTTCCCTGATGCTTAAGAGCAGAGGAAGATCTCTCCTGTCTGAATGACCCTCAAGAGGGAGCGCAAAAAATATACTAAGATTACATTGTCCACTCTTCCTATGGGGAATGGAGACTCATCAGA